CTACAAAATCATGAAAGTTTTTCTTAAAATATTAGCAAATTTTTTTTTAAATACAATAATAATGATTCATTTTTTGATTCGTAGGTTAAACCTTTTTCAAATAAGTATATTTTTAATTCTAAATAACTTAAAAAAGATATTTTTGCAAGTTATTCGAACGTATTATGTTATACATTTATAAAAAAAAAAGAAGGTTAAAATTAACGAATACAATATTCTAAAATATTCATAAATTTCACTTACTACGGAATATTCTCAATTTACTAAATATTACAGCTGATATTTCAATATAATTAAATAAATCAAAATAATTAAAAACTTTGGAGCACTATTATCTTAAAAATACGAAGAATTCTTGTAGTTCCATTAGCGACAGCACGTTGAAACTTCATTTTAAATTGTCAAAAATGTATGGAGGACTTGTTTAGTCGAATCCAAATAATAATTTGGAGCTGCTCGATCAGAAACTGATTTTCTTCGTGCTGTTGGTCAGTGCAGTTGGTGGCTAAGAATTAAGAAAGTCATTGGTTCTGACATAATGAGAGACATAACAAGTATTCTAAGTTGCACAGAAAAACAGAGAGAAAACATCGTTGCTTTTAATAATAAACGTACTAAAGAAAAAAATTGTAGATTTTAAAAATTAAAAAAAAATTGCCATTATATAAATTTTTTTTCTTTCTATTAAACTAATTTAATCAAACGGTTCTGACACTTTTAAGTTTTAAGAACACTTTTAAGGGTTAATGACAGATTACCTCTTTTTTTACACGTTCCACTTTCGGCATCATTGTTAATATTGTATTATTGAAAAAGTATTATGTCTGTGAATTGTAATTAAATTATATTTATTGCAAAAAGAATGTTAATATAATATGAAAATAATATATATTTAAAATATTATATACTTATCTTATTACTTTCGATAATTGTAATTATTGTGATTGAGAAAGTATAAAATTTTTGGTGTACTCTCACATACAATTATATATTTATTATGATTATTACAAAAGAAAACTTTCACAAATACATTATCCTACTGTAAAATAAAATCAGCACATTGAAATTTTTCTTAATTTTAAATATCTATTTAGCATATTTATCGCTTCAATCTACTCTTAACTTTGAAATTCGTATTAATTGGTAATTAAAAATGTAATTATCGCTTGACAAAAAATGTACGTGGCGCATATAATATGAATTACCCAACAAAATTATCAGTTTAAAAATTTTGCGACATTTATTGAACATATATATTATCATTTAAAGGCAATTACTTTTCTCGTTTATACATTTATTATTCGCAAAATGCATCACTACCATATATTATATAATTTCAACCGCTCACCCGTGTCCATATAATTCACAAACTTTTTCACGAACAACGATATTTAATAAAAAATTTTTTTTTAATAATTTTTTCAATATATACATATGAGACACTCGCTAATTTGCATTAACCCTCTTATCATCTCTTAATACCATAGATTTTTGAGACAATTAACCTCCATTAATCGCCCACAACTCTTGTCCCATTATTCTTTAGGTGAGCATCTGTTCAGGTGACTACCTGCGCATAATAAGCGATTGCAAGAAAACGGAGCCGCGTTATCGAACTCACACTGGTCGCTGCAATAATCCCTTTTATCCGGCACGTGGTGCTGCTCTAGAGGCGTATTCGCGAATCCTGCTCGCCGATTACGCTGACGGCGTGTCCTTGCCGGCACCAGGACTACCGAGCGCTCGAGCCGTTAGCACTGCGATGCACTCGGGTGGTCCGGACCTTAGGTAAGTCGCGGAAAACCAAAGCTAATTCATTATATCTTCTTAAGATAGAAGTTTACTATTGTGATAGTTGATTAAAGTTGAGAAAGCATGAGACGTTTCAAATTTCACATCGTTTTTATCTTATTTTTCATAAATTCCATCTCTTAACACATCTGGACTTATAATAAAGTTAAGTTAATTACATTGTGGAAAGGTTAAATTATATTTTTGATTAGGAATATAAACGTTTGATCATATTCTAATGGTACATAAATGCAGTAATGTCAAGAGTATTGGACAAAAGCAGGGCAAGAGAGAGAGAGAGAGAGAGAGAGAGAGAGAGAGGGAGAGAGAGAATGACAAAAAAAATTTTTCTTCTCTAATAAGCAATTACAAAATATTATCTATTATATTATGGATATATATAGTTTTAGTCTCTACATATCAAATTGCGTATTTGACAATAATATATTTATATGCTATCAAATTATTATTAAAAGTTTACTTATTACAAATTTGGTAATGCATGAAAATATATTTTAATAGTTTGTTTTCTATAAAAACTGTATTTCTATTCAATCCAAAACAAAGTCCGAGTATCCAAAATATAACTACTAAGGAATATTCATTTGTTTTTAATAATAATCTGTATAATATTTTATCTTATTAATAATATATTTAAGGTTTTATTCAAGTAAAAATTATTTTTACACAAACTAGAAATCTGCGTGTATTCTTAGTAATACCTTTCAGGTATTTATATAATATTCTCTATATCTCTCTCCCCTTTTTTTTCTTTCACTTTTTTATAAATAAAAACAAATTCATTATATTGATATATTATATATAAAAAAATTTATTTTAATGAGTTCCGTCATTTACACCGATTAATGTATACACGCACGTATAATACGAGTAAAAAATTACTTAATAGTTTCATTTTATAATTTTCTACCAATTTCATTGAAAATGTGCAAACGAAATATATAACCCAAGATAAGGTTTAAAAATAAATTTTATAGAAAACAATTATTATAGGAGTATGTATTGATATCGAAGAAAAAAAATTTTTCTATTGAATACAATAAAAGTTAAATATTTTTTAATTCATTGTAATATTCGAATTTGTCGAATTATTCTTTATATCGATCGTGAATTCGCTAAGTCTGATTAATTTTTAAAATTGACGATTTATAAAATTAATGTCAATATGAATGAAAATATTAATATCAATGAGAAATCTGATAAACAATAATGATAAAGTTATATTATATACAATTGCACAACTTTCAAATAACTATAATCGCATAAATTGTTGAAGAAAATTATATAATGTAAATTAATTCTCTCTATGTATTCCATAAGCTTTTTATATCAACAAACTTATTGATAATATCATACTTTACCTTAATACCGGCAGATTAAAATTCATTAATGTTATTAATCAAATAATTGTATCGTAGACATAAAAATTATATTAAATCTCAATCAAAGTAAACTATATATAAATTTATAGATGCTGGAGAATATTATCGATTAAGATCTATTTTCTAAATTACAGTTACAAAAAGTAAAATTAATTTTCATAATTTATAAAAAAAGAAATGGAATTATATATATAATTCTTCAATATGTTCAATGATTTATATGCGAAATATTTTACAATTTTTTCACGAAAGTAAATATGTATAATAGAAATGAGAAATGTACGATAGATCCGTAAGGTCTGATATAAAAGTAGACGATTAGGTAATCAGCGAGCCATTTTGTAAATTATGATTATGTTTATGTTGTTTCAAATTTATTATTCTCGTGCCAGGCATCCGCATCTCATGGCCTTAACAGCACTTTTTGGTGAGTTCGTTGCCCACGATTTGGCTCACACCCCACGTATGAATCTGCCTAACGGTGATCGACTCCGATGCTGCGACGTCGAGTTCGAACACTTTCATCCGGAGTGCTTTCCAATCAGAGCCGAGGACGAAGTTGGCGGCTGCATGGAGTATGCCAGGTCTGCGCCACATCCAGGAAATGCGCACCAGGTGAGTGTCACTTTCCCGAGGCAAATGGCTTAGACAGTAATGAGCAAAGTTTTTGCTTTTCGACATTCTGCGACACTTTGCGAACTTTCCAAATCTTCGAATTATGGACGTAAGCTTAAGTAGGGGAGGAAATTGGGCCTCGATAACAAAAATAAGATTAAGGTTGAAAAGTTTCTCCGAATAATTATAGGAGCTTATTAATATGTACGTTTATATAGAATTTCATTATTTGAAAAAATTAGTTTTATTGTAGCTGAGGTAAATACAAGTTGTGTAGTATTAAAAATTTAAAGCAAATTTTTTTTTTTTTACTCTACATTTGAAATTAATTATTATAAATAATCGTATATCAACTTGAAAATTGAAGAGTAAAAATATACCAAATTATAAGAAGCGTAAAAATTCATATATTAAATCGTAAATGGTATGTTTTCTGAAATAAAATGAAACAATGATTTTTTGTTGTTTCTAATACTATATGCTTCTTTTTATTTTTTTTTTTTTTTTTTTTTTTTTTTTTTTTTTTAAATATTGTAGTATAAACTGACTTCTATTGAATCACTTTTCATACAATACTATATACACGTACAATATTATATTTTTTTTATTTAATTATAAAACTCGGGACTGTTTTTTGAATCAATATACTTTAGTTGAAAAATTCATTATACAAAGTATACACATATTTATATATATATATATATATATATATATATATATATATATATATTAATAATTAAAATTTCTTTAATTTTATATTATAAATTTTACTCTTCTTTTTTATTGTAATTACATATGATATACATATTGCATTAATTTAACATATTATTTTATCTGTAGATATAATATATTTACGAGCATCGTCTATTTAGAATTTCATAGCGTTGACATTTCTAAAAGATCTCATGATTTTGTTTAAGAATTTGAAAATTATCAGTATCCATTTTGAAATACAATAATTATAGAATATTTATAACTATCATAGTAATAAGTTATTTTATGTAAATTATGCTTATTTTCAAATATGAAAAGATAATTTTATGATATATGTTAAAGCAGAATCTATAAAGACAAGTTTATGTTTATAAATTTAATAGAAAACTTTGTGTTAATTTTTTAATATAATTAATAATATTATTTCTATGAAGTATGACAAGGCTGTAAATTTAAAAGAATTTAGCTAAAATTGAATGTTAATATAGAGAGATAAATTACACGTGATAGTGATAGTTTAAACTAAGCAAATTTATGTTTACCATAAGAAAAGATGAACGAATATTGCTTCGCCTTAGTAACTTATAAAGCTTAAAAGTTAAAGTTACGACGTATTCTTATGAGTCGTACATAATATATCTATATGCCTGTAAATTAAAGGATGAAAATTGAGATTTTTCGCTATAACAATAAACTCTATATAGATAAGATTATATTTAAGCGCATACAGATATTGAAACTACTTTGCTATTTGTAGATTTTTTTTTTTCTAAACTTCTGTTTAGACTATCGATAATTTAAAAAGTTTTTTCCAATAAAAGAAATTTAATTAAGAAATTAATATTCAATAATATAACATAAACACATAATATAATAGTCAGATACAAATATTGTTATAATGTATATTATATATTTTTGATATATGACGTGATTTTTTCGAATATCTTATTGATAAAGAATGCGAATGAGAGCATATGATTAATTATTTAAATTTCTTTTAAAGACATATTACGTACACTTTCTTAGAATCACAGTCTATAATTGTTATATGTATTTGACAATAATAGTTTTCTTCCTTACAAAAAAATAGAAAAAGGTTTCAAACTTATAATTGAAATTAAAAAATTTTGTGTATCCATAAAGAGATACTGGTGCTTAGAAAAACAGTGTAAGCGTAAGAAGAGTTGAGATAAAAATGACAAACTCATTTTAAACAATGGACATTGAGAGTTAAAAGACAAGTAAAGGCATTGATTTATCTTTTATCACGTAATAGAAATATGTCTTTTGACACAAGCCCATATAGATTCTAATGACTAGCATTATGATTATTATAAACTGCAGCTCGGCTTTTTCTTTATTACATTGCATAATGGCGGCCCTCGGGGATACGACTCAGTTGGCATTTATAACTTTTAACTTTTACCGCTTATGTGTAAATGCCGTTATTCGAGCTTAAAAACGAGCAGCTGGTAATCCCGATAGAAAATTAATTTTAGTTTTAATTTAATAAAATTGATTTAGCCAAAATATAACTACTGCACAACAAACAAAATAGTACATAGACTTGACTTTTTATTTCTTGTTTCATTATCATTATTAATGGAATGGCATAGGTAGTCCTGTATCAATGATCCTTTCGGTAATACATATTCGGCGAACATAAATATGAGATCATACGATTATTTAAAGATTAAAATAAATAAATTTTTGCCTGAAAATATTTATAAAGCAAATTCACCCGTCTGTCACTGATGGATTTACAAAAGATTTACCCAACAACCCTATTTCAAATAGATATTACTTAATTATATTATACATATTATATATATTTACTTCATTTACTTCAATTATACTCTTCTTTGTAATAATAAAAACCATTATATTTTAAGAAAAATTGCCTTTTTAAATTATATTCGTTTTTCTGGCCTATTGGACCAATTGTAATGCATATAAAAATATTGATATTTCATTAATGATGTTGCTCATGTTAAACATTTTTTTTTTTTTTTTTTTTTTTTTTTTTAAATCATCTATAAACACATCAAACGTTATTATTTTTATTTCGTCGTTAATCTAAATTAAGGTAGTTAATATCTTAATTGATAGCACATTAAAAATAATTATTAAGCGAAATGAATAAAACGATGTTATTCATTAAATGTCCGTAGTGATAATTAAACAATTGTGTATTGCACCAATAACCATTTGAAAGGCTTTTTATTATAAGATATCACATTAAAGTGAATTTATTAATACGTAAAGGAACGTATGGTACAAAGGCGAAAGTAAAGAAATTAATTATCAAAGTAGCCATTAAGAAATGGAATAAAATTTTTCATAATACTGGAAATTTATTACGCACAATCAAATCAGCACTTTGATAATTATATTCTGTACTGAAAAATGAATTTACACGCGAGCAATATATAAATCACACAGAGTTACAAAATAAATGAAGGAAAGAAAGAAAGAAAGAAAGAAGGATGGAAAATTTCACTGGGGAGCTGAGATAATGCCTAGTGAAAGAAAGAAACCTAGCAAGAGACCTCCTTCACTTTTCCTTCACCACGACAATTAAGCCTTGCCGATTTCGCAAAAGGGTTGCAGGCTTGGATCGCGCCAGCAGATAAACCAGGCGACGTCCTACATCGACCTCTCACCGCTTTACGGTAGCTCCGAGGAGACGGCGCAATTGCTCAGATCGGCCAAGGGCGGACTCCTTAACACGCAGCGCCGAAATCTGCCAATGGCATCCCGAGACCCCCGTACCTGCAGACTCGAGAGCCGCGCCTTCCCTTGCTTCCTCAGCGGCGACTCCCGGATCAACGAAAATCCTGGCCTGGCGCTTATGCATCTACTCTTTCTCAGGTAGGTGGATCGAGGATACCTTTACTTTTTCATCTCGATCCTGCTTCACCTCACGCCTTTATCTCATTAGACATTGCTTTCTCTTGCTGGTTTCATGACAGTCATCGTCCTTCGTTGACTTTATCTAACTGAATCCGAGTATGTGTCGTAATGCAGATGCACAGGTATTGAGTATCTTGGAGGTTTAGCCTATTACAAGTATATTCTACATTCGATAGATTACAATGTTTTTCTAAAAATAACTAACATTTTTTATTTATTAAATCAAATGAACTGAGCAATAGAGCGAGATTTTATAATTTCAAATGCCAGAGAAAGACGAAGTAATAATAATAGAGAGCAAAGAAATTTCGAATTTTCTAATATACAAGAATTCTAAATTTACTCGAGCTAGGGTCACTTTATGATTATTTTATGTTATATAAAAATTGTACTTCATTAGAAATTAATGAATTACAATTAGAATTCCATTATAAGTAAAGAATTATTCGTTAATTACTAAGCTCTAAAGAAATTAATTTAAAGACTTTATCTTATGATAATTGAGTGTTATATTGTGCAATATAAGAAGAACATGGCAATATAAAAGATAAAATCAATGGTAAATGTCATTTGAATTCATATCGCTAAATTATTTACATTGTTGATGAGTTTGCCAAATAAAAATTTCACAAGCAATATAAATATTATTCGTGAATTTTTCAGAGAGCATAATCGTATCGCTGAAAATCTTCAGCTTCTCAATCCCCACTGGAGCGACGAGAGACTTTATCAAGAGTCACGAAAAATTAATATCGCCGAGATGCAGCACATAACTTATGGAGAATTTTTGCCCGTCGTTTTGGGCGAAGCTGCTCTTAACGAGTGAGTTACTCTACCCCTCCCTCCCTCCCTCCCACAAACCCCCCATTCACATATAAATAATCTAATCTTTTAAATGAGTCGCTAAAGTTTTTACTCTTTCTATGTACTTGCGTAATAATCACTGGTGCACTGAAATTCGGATGTGAATAAAAATTAAAATGTTGGTGATAATACCACTGAATTACTCACTTATATGGAAGGAAATAATTAACGTATGATATGACGAATTTGCGTAAATAAATTTCCAAATGAAAATATTCATTGGAGCAATAAATAATACAATTGGAAGAAGATTAAATTCGTTAATTATATCGATAATTATTCGGATAAGCGTTTCGGTGAATTGGAAAAAGGGAGAGACTGAGAGAGAGAGAGAGAGAGAGAGAGAGAGAGAGAAATTGTTTTAACGATGACAACGTCAAAATCATTGCGGTTACATTTATAAATTCTATAATCAATCAGGACAAAAAAAAGGGCTAATGCATAATTTAACATATTGTTAAAAAATATGGATAAATGAATTATTGAGCGAATCGTGAAAGCGTAAAGTATATTATACGATAAATAGTTTGAGTAGCTTAAAATGTATTATTTGACGTTAATTCGTCATTGTAGAATAAGATATTATAATCCGTGTACGTGCGTAGTGCCTAATATTTTTTAATGATTAGGTTTCATATTTTTCATAATTATACTTCATTTGTCGATATTCTTTGAAAACTAATATTTCACATTCAATGGATTCTTTTTGGACATGGATGTATCGAAATACTTATAAGTACTGTCAGGTCATTGATTCCACTGCAATTGTCTTTGTTCGATAATTTTTTTAACTGTTACGTAAGCATTGCGCTTTTTGTAAAATTATTAGCTCTTTATGTGCATATGGAACTTTATGTGCCCAATAATCACATAAATTTATCTTTTACATGCTATAAGCTACGATCTGCGTCTGGGTCAGCGAGGCTACTTTCAAGGCTACGACTTCAGGGTAGACGCGACGATAAGCAATGCGGCGGCCTCGGCGGGACTCTTCTTCGTAGCCGCGTTGACACCCAAAACCCTCGACCTCATTGACACGCAATCGGAGCATAAATCCGGAGAGAGGTCGTTATTGTCGGCATTTTACGCGCCTCAGGAATTGTATGAAGCCGGCGCTATAGATCGGCTTATTGCCGGCGCCACCGGTAATTATACAACTTTATACTCTCGCTTACTCGCACGCATACTAACAATCACCATTAAACCATACTCTCCCTGCATACATATATATAATTAATCTCGGATATCATCTAAGTATTCAAGCATTAAATAAGCATTTGTCGAAAGTCTAAAGGACAATTATCCTCGTAAAATTGCGTGAAACGTAATGTTGCTTGGACGTATAAAAATGCATTTCTCTATCTATTTGTCAATGAAGAAAAAACGAAGCTCGACGAATGTATGCTAGTGCCACGTAAATCGCGTGCGTTCGAAATTTTCGCCTCCGAACAATCGATGGCAAGCTAAAAGAATTTTGTACAATCGCCTAGTAAAAACAATCAATGCTAACGGGGAAAATAATTTATTATGCTCGTTAAATCGAAGCTGGACACTCGCGCAACCCATTACCGCCAAGCTTAAACGAGGTCTTGGTCGAGCGCTACTTCCACGATGGGAAGACACGCGAGACACCCGTGGACTATGCAGCTCAAATTATTCAACAAGGTCGCGATCACGGACTCCCGGCGTACATTCACTGGCGCAGTGTCTGCAACCTTCAAGAGGTCCAGAGCTTTAAGGACCTGGAGGGCACGGTCGCACGCGATGTCATTAGTCGTTTGCAGGGAATTTACAGGTGACGTACTCGAATCTTCTTACCTTCCTCATTCCCTCAAAGTGGCTGGGATGAAGATAGAAGACAATTTAAGCGCTTGAAATTTCAACTGCCCTTTGGCAATTTTCTCGGCAACATTATTTTATACGATAAAATTGAAAGACTTTTTTTTCATAAAGATGTTGCGGAATTGCGGAGGAAGAAAGCCTCGCCACTTGACTTATTTATACATTTACGCGATTGCTAATTGCTAATCAAACATCAATCTTGATAACGACAATAATAATAATAATAATAATAATAATAATAATAATAATAATAATAATAATAATAATAATAATAATAATAATAATAATAATATCGTTCATAAAAAATAATTTTAAATCCGTATGGATTATTGATTTATGCTAGAAAAACAGATTAAAAATTATTTCATACGATTTACGGGAATGTATTGGCATTTTATTGGGTAACGATTAAAGCCACATAGCAAGTCAATGAGCGATTTTCGGCATGAAACATTAAAATTTTTTACTAAAGATAATTATCGTGAATACGCGATCGATTGCTTTATTATTAAATTAATTAGAAGCTCGACTTCTTAAAAAAAAAAAAAAAAAAAAAAAAAAAAAAAAAAAAAAAAAAAATCAATCATCATTTCTTTTAGAAAAGTAGAGGAAATTGATCTTGTAACGGGTGCACTGTCCGAGACACCACTATCTGGATCTGTTTTAGGACCGACATTCATTTGTCTCCTTGGAAGGACATTTCACAATGCACGCTTTGGTAATTGTTGCTTTTATCTTATTTAATTGCCCTTTTAACGATTCAACTGTACGAGCAAAATTTTTCGCTAATTTAAAGATGTTTTTTGGATTTTGTTGTTGTTTGTTGTTGTTGTTGTTTTTGCCGCTGCTGTTTGTTTTTTCTTAAATAAATACGAGCCGAAAGTGTCACGCGACAATATAAATAATAGAAAAAAAAAATATGAAACGTATAATTATAGTCCTAATATAATTCTATGCAATTATAATTATTGGAATGCACGAGTTCTTGAGTTATTTTAGTGGAATATTTTGAAATGACGGGTACGCGTATTATGACTTTTGAGAAAAACAATTGCTTATTTACACCCTTTATATACGGCTCAGGTGACAGGTATTGGTATGAAAATGGAAAAACACCAGGCACCTTCACTCCCGAGCAGCTGCAAGAAATTCGCAAAACAACAATGGCAAGAATACTATGCGATAACGGAGATCGGCTCAAACACGTTCAGCCTCGAGCTTTCATCCTGAAAGATAAGTTCCTGTAAGTGGTTATTTAATGAATTGTTGATGATTGAAATCTTTTAGCATATTGTGTGCAATAATGTGCGCTTATCGCGTTTTACATTTTTCGGCAGAAATAACATGGAGAACTGTTCGATGTATCAGCATCACGAAATAAATTTACTCTTCTGGAAGGAAAATCCAACGAAATCTTAGCTTATAATCATCATTCCTAACCACCATAGAAGGTCATTAATCAACTTGCTTGATCTGGCTTGTCCTCTACGAGAGCAGCATAGTAAAATATCAATTTTCAAGAGCGTATCCTTTCTCTTTTACTTACGATATTTAAGGAACGCAATGGCTAATATATAATTACGTAATAAACCTAATTTCTTTCGTACACTTCCTATTTTAGTATAATGCAGCCTAGTTTTACAGCGGTAATTTCATGTCAATTATGTCATCAGTGGTATTTCGGTACTTAATAACTTCTCGCGAAAATAGTAAATAATTACAACTTGATTATATACGATGCTTTAACAAATTATCATAACGGCATCTAAGGCAAAATTATTTTGCCAATGGATAATTATTGCTATTATCTAGCTAGCTGTATCGGTATATTTTCAAAGCATTAACCCGAATAGAAAACGATCTGTATTTTTTGGAACGAAGTATTGTTTTGTAAGATTTTTTAACAATGATGATATGTTGTTTTAGGAATAACAATAATTAACTCGATTTCTTATCCACTGTCAATTTAATTATTTTCACCGGCCATCGTTAATTGATCAAGTTGCAAATAACATAAACAACTCGTCTATTATATTGCAAAATTCATATACTTTATGAACTTAAAAATTGTTGATTAACTGATAATTATAAAGTCCTTGGCATACATAATCTGATATTAAATGTCGACTGCATATGTAAATAAATACTACAAAACGTCATGTCCATGCGATCGATATAAATTATTCTGCAAGACTTAAGTATTTAAAATACTAAGCGTTTCATTCGTATTTCGGATTACAAAACAAAAATATTCTTTCTTAAAAATCAATGTCAATAATTATTCATATTTCGTTTGTGAGCGTATTTTGTAATATTAATGAAATTCTACCAGCAATTATGATAAATTATTTAACATATATTTTTAATAAATTCATGATTTTTGTACATAAACTTTTAATAATAAATTATTTTTTTAAATCAACATAGATAAAAAATAGTTTCATTTATAATTCCATTATCATTAGAATTAATATGTCAGGCTATAAAATAATATTTTATTCTATAGTGATTAACATTTTTTTCATAATCTAAATCACACCTACTTTTACTTCATTTAATAGGAATTAATTATATTACATATAATATTATCAAATAGGATTATTAAAAATACTAGCTATTTTTCGTCATTATTTTTGTAGTTAGGATACATAAAATCGAATAACTTTATCTTCGAAAGTACCTACTTACCTTGTATAAAAGTGCCACTGCTTTGCGATCAATTTAACAAGATAAATCGCAATTTATTATTACATTTTACTCGTTATGAGAATTTAAAATGACTTTTATACAAAATTAATTTTGCAAAATAATACTAATGGGTTAAGCTATTGCGCGTTAAACTAATGGATTTACATAATTCCAAGTTTGTAAATTTAATTCTTATATGCTAAACATTTCACTGTATCAAAAAACATAATACGAATTCTGTTTAAGGTAGTGTATAAATGCTGAAAAGTATTTTTATTTATTTTTACACTCTGAAAACAATTAAGTAAGTTTACTTTTATCATATTATATGAATAAGAGTGAATGTGTAGAATTCAATTTATTACAATGTGATCGAATAATTGGAGTTTAAATAAATATTCTATTTATCGACAGAAATGATAATAAGACATAATTGAGAGTGCTCGATTATATCTTGTTTTGTTGTCTACAAAAAGCCATTCCCGATATTATTAACAAATTCATTTTTATTTAAATACAAAAAACAAATCTTAAGTGAATTAAAAAATTCGACGATATCTATTTTATTAGAAAAAAATCTATATTATTAAATACAAAAAGACGTATTACATGCATAAATTTACGTACATGTAAAATATTAATATTCAGAGATTAGTTTAGAATGCGGAAAAAAAAAGAATAATAATACAAAACTACTTTGGGAAAAGAAATTTATCACTTTTGCAAAATAATTTGAATGATACTTGCGGAATTAAGGAATTGTCATTGAAAAGAAATTTATAACTTTTTAAAAATAATAATTTGAATGATACTTACGAAATTGAGGAATTGTCATGGAAAAGAAATTTATAACATTTAAAAAATAATGATTTGAATAATACTTACTTGGCGTAGGATTTAAAAAGATTTTTCAAATTCAAAATTGTTGAAAGTTCGATTTAAAGTCTTTATTTTCTTAATTTTTTTTCAGAGTAGTTAAACGAAGATTTTTCACAAAATGTTTACATTTATTCATATCCATGAAAGAATCGATCTATTTAGTGGGATTTCGTTTTAAGAAAAAGGAAAAAGTAATCCTTATAATTAATAACAAACATGTTTTATATTACGATGATGATTTTCACATTATCATCATCAATATAAGGATTATCACTTATTCGAGAACACTTTATGCGCGATAATTTTATTTTACTTATACACATATATTCAACACCTCTCTACCTCTCTCATTTCACCCGCTCTTCTCTCTCTCTCTCTCTCTCTCTCTCTCTCTCTTTCTCTCTCTATCTTTCTTTCTATCATCCATTATTCAGTGATTATACATACATTATTTCTCGTTACATATTGCTTGCGTTTACAATACACTTAAGTCATTTTTTAACGCATATTTGCATTTTGTGCATATAAACACGCTTACATCGAAAATCCTTTTGAACTACAAAAACTGGAAAAATTACCCGAATTTTTTAAATCGAAAGCTATTAATATCCTTTTGTTTCGGTTATGTGTAAAATTCCAACGAGAAATTACAAATTCAGCTAAGCGTTTTGTCGGGGGGTCAAAGGTTGAAAATGTTCATTAAAATCAAAATAAACCCCTCAACGTGTATTTTATCATTTATTGTTATTTATATATATGCGATAAAATATCTTTAAATGGTGTTTGCAAGGTGTATATATGTGTGTGTGCGTGCGTGCGTGCGTGCGTGCGTGCGTGCGTGCGTGTCTGTGTGTATACGATTTTACACATGTCGTGTAAAAATACTGACAATAGTGTTTCTTTGATTTTTAATATCCAAATATTCACTTTTATGAATTAATAATTTCATTTGTCTGTCTTGTCTTAGTTTTAAGTCTCTTTAATAGAAGAGAAACTCGCGTTTGTGTCTTGGAGAAACTCGCTTATTTAGATATTTGTTATTATTACTTGTATGATTTTTGTGATTGAAAGAAATAATTTAAAAATCAACAATAATGTAATTATATGTGTCGTATCGTTACAACAATGTGCATAAAGTTATACGACAACGTTGTTTCAACGCCGGGCCAGTGTCGGTCGAATATTTTGTATTAATAATAAAATCGATGAGCCAATTATGTATAAAATTGTACCTAATTAACACTTTCAGAAGATTTCGCACTTTAATTAGATTTGTGTATCCTTTACTGAAATTTTTAAGCGTACAATAACTAAGTATTTTTATCTCGTAATAATTTCTTTTCATTTTTAGCTCTCTGAAGAAAGATTAAAAAAGAAAAGAAAGACTAGTTAAAGGTTTCAATGATGATCAAACATCAAGACTCAAGGTCCAAAGAGTAAATTTTTTATTAACATGATTGAATTAGAATAGACAACGGATAATTAACATTCCTTTACCCTTTTTTCGCTAAATATTATCATACAAAATAATTAAGACAATGTACAAAAAGTTATAAAATTAGTAATAGTTGTAAGGTAACAATTACTCATCTTATGTAATTATGTAATAAGATCTTGCTTATTAAGGTGTGACTTGTTCTTCTCATTATTTTTTTCTTTTTTTTTTTCTTCAATAGATCTTTGATGTGTTTGCGTGGGTTGATGTTTAGGCATACATATGAGTAAACTTATGTTTGGAATATTTTGCGATTTTCAAGCATCTGCTTCTCAGTACTAATTCATTCTCCAAAAATAAAGAAATTTATGGTAATATTAATGACATTGAATTAATAGGGAGGAATATGTATACGATAAGTGATGTTCGACAGCCTCTTCTATCGACCGAAGCTCAAAAAATTATTATTATACACATAAAACAAATAATATTAATCAAGATTAAACATTGAACAATTGACAATTGATTATTAATTATTATTTATTATCTTTATTGTTAATACTTTTTACTTTAATACTACTTGCGTCAATTCAAGTTTAGATTATTATGTGTCAACTCCCTACATACTTAAGAAGAAATTAAAGGATATAAAAATTAAGTTTAAACGAATTTTTCCTATTAATTTTAATTTAACTATATTAATTATGTTTTTAAACTAAAAGTTTTTTTCACATTCATGTACACGTATAATATATACGTCTAATGTATACGCACATAAACAAGGAGATTAAACAGAATGTTCAGTAGCATTAACAGAATCTTAATTATGTCGCACATATCATTTTATCACGTGAAACCGTAGAAGTTAACGAAAATCATTGATGAATTCTTTTAACTGAGAGTTCTTTCTATCGTGTTTCATAAAGATTTGTTATAAAAATAATATTACAATATAAATATCTGATTGAAACAATATATTTAATATGATTTTTGTCAGATGAATAAAGCAAAGGAAATAAATACACTTTCTTTTATTCAAATAAGAAAGCGGATGATATATTTTGCTGATTACTGTATATATATCAAAGTTTTTTGCGAATATGAAAGTGCCTATGTAATTTTGAAATAAATATTAATTTGAAAGTGTTACTTCCCGTTCTATTACATATATTTCACATTATTTCTTCTGTACTTGCGTATTTAACCATTTTTAGTAGTTCTCTGATTGTTTACTAAGTTTTATCATCAAAGATAACAATTTAATTAAGCATAACAACTTAATTGGGCAAATAAATTAAATATTTATTTACGAAATTCAACAGTTCATAAATTACATGAAAATTCATAAAAAATATTATATATATGTATCCGAACTTGCGTGTCAGGTATGTTCGTGTCAGTGTGTGCGCGTTTATGTATGCGCGCGCGTGTGTGTATGAGGATGTGAAAATGTGTCAATATGAATTGCATAAGGTATTCTCTCACTTTTTGTACATATGTCAATTGAATTAAATAAAGTTGATT